GGCCCCGCGGGACCAGCAGCCGGCCCGGTTCCGCGGCCGGGAGGAGCAGCGGCCCCGCGGCTTTCCCGGGCTCCCGCCGCCCCTCGGAGCTCTGCCTGCCGGCCCCCGATGGGCCGCGGAGGGAAAAACCCCGGGCTGGGTCATCCCCGGCTCTTTTAAAAAATAATTATATATTAAAAAAAAAATCCCCCCACACACTTTAGCATCTGCAGGCACTCACTTGCTTCTGGAATCTTGCTTCTGGAATCTGTTTAAAATGTTTTCCTTTCCCTAAGCACAGAAGCTAGGAGGAAAAGAGCAGACTGCTTTCCTCCTCCGGTCTTTGTATTGTTATCAGGAGCTCCGAAGTGCTACCTCTCTATTTATTTATTAATTTATCATTTTTCCTTGAAGGACTGCTAACTTCAACAAATTTAACCGATTGTTCTTGGAACTGCTGCAGATAAGAACACAGTAATAATAACAAAGCGCGTAGATAGTTAAGAGCAGTGACATTTGCAGATATTGGGTTGTGAATACCTGAGGGGAGGGATGGGGCCAAACTCTTCTAGGTGGCGACCAGCAACAAATGAGTTAATTAATGAGTACAAATTGATCACACAAGAAGTTTCATCTCCATATGAGGAAGAACTTCTTTACTGTGAGGGTGACAGCACTGCAACAGGCTGCCAAGAGAGGTTGTGGAGCCTCCTTCTCTGGAGATCTTCCAAAGCCGCCTGGATGTGACCCTGTGGGGAGTCACATCCTGCTTGAGCAGGGGGGTCAGACTAGATGATCTCTAGAGGCCTTCTTCAACTTTAACCATTCTATGATTTACTGCAAAGCTTCATTGAAAGTTATAACGTATTTACTAAATGTTATCATCAACTTGGATTTTTTTTTCTTAATTAGCACAAAGCAGAGTATTAAGTACAAGTAACATGCCAATGGCCTGGCCTTAGTCACCAATAAAGGTTTGAACACTAGGTCTAAGGTGATCCTCAGCGCAGGCTCTGTGGAGTCCTCTTTGCTGTGTCTTCTGGCTTCCTCTGCGTTGGTGAAGACCAATTGATTTAGAATCATAGAAACATAGAATCATTATGGTTGGAAAAGACCTACAAGATCATCAAGTCCAACCATAAACCACTGAACCTGTCCTGGCACAACTTGAGGCCATTTCCTTTTGTCCTATCAGTAGTTATTTTGGAGATGAGATCAACCCCCGCATCATTACAACCTCCTTTCAGGGAGTTGTAGAGAGCGATAAGGTCTCCCCTGAGCCTCCTGTTCTCCTGAATAAATAACCCAGCTCCCTCAGTGGCTTCTCGTAAGGTCTATGCTTGAGCCCCTTCACCAGCTTCATTGCTCTTCTTTGGACACCCTCCAATGCCACCATGTCTTTCTTGTAGCGAGGGGCCAAAAACTGAACACAGCATTCAAGGTGCAGCCTCACTAGTGCTGAGTGCAGGGGGATGATCATTTTCCTGGTCCTGCTGGCAACACTGTTCCTGATACCCGCTGGGAGGCTGTTGGCCCTCTTGGCCACCTGGGCACACTGCTGGTTCATGTTCAGCTGGCTGTCGAGCAGCACCCCCACATCCTTTTCTGCCACACAGCTCTCCAGCCACTCTGTCCCAAGTCTGTAGCACTGAATGGGGTTATTGTGACTGAATTTCAGGACCTGGCACTTGGCCCTGTTTAACCTCATACGGTTGGCCTCAGCCCATTGATCTAGCCTGTCCAGATCCCTCTGTAGAGTTTTCCTACCCTCAAGCAGAACAACTCCTTCTCCTAGCCTGATGCTGTAGAGTTTTCCTACCCTCAAGCAGAACAACTCTTTCTCCTAGCCTTTCTCCTCATCTACAAATTTGCTGAAGGTGCATGTAATTCACTCATCCAGATCATCAATAAAGATACTAAAGAGGACCAGCCCCAACGCTGACCACTGGGGAACATCACTCATGACCAGTTGTCAGCTGGATTTAACTCCATTCACCACAATTCTCTTGGCCTGGCCATCCATCCAGTTTTTCACCCAGCAAAGAGTACACCTCTCTAAGCTATGAGCTGCCAACTTCTCCAGAAGGCAGTGGGAGATGGTGTCAAAGGCCTTACTGAAGTCTAAGTAGACCTCGTCCACAGCCTTTTCCTCATCCTCTAGGTGAGTCGCCTGTTCATAGGAGATCAGGTTGGTCAAGCAGGACCAGCCTTTCATGAACCCAGCTTGTCTGG